TCATTCGTGAGAAATTTCTACGAGATCCTTTTCGAATTGTTCGGTAAAACAATGAATGAAATGCTGAAACTATTCTACTTACAACTTTATCTATGTTTGAACTGCCTTTTGTACAATTTCAATAGTTAAGAAATAGAAGATTATCAAAATGTCAAGTGAATTTCTTTGAATTTGATTGCCAATAGGAAGAAAAATAATTTTATTATTATTTTTTAGTAAATGATTATTTAATAATCTTCACAATTAGTTTAATTTTTGTGTGTGTCACGTACGCGTAATAGAAATTTTATAATTTCATTATTTTACACGGGTTTAATTTATATGTTAACGTCTTAGTTTTGATATAAATTTTTAAATTCAAATTCAAATTTGTATAGCACATTTTCACGTTTATAATATTATTACAAAATATATTTTTTTGTGTATTAAATAAAACAAATTTTGTATAGAATCATTGAAATAAAAGAATTCTTTTTTACATACTTATAAAATGTGAACTAACTATTACAGAATATGATTTCGTTTCTAGCCATACGATGATTGACATGTTAATTTATTTTGTACAATTTATCTGAAAATTATGTTAGTTAGCTATTTCAAACAATACAACTGCCATAGACATAGGAATGTCGAATGAATTTAATTGATAGCGTGCCAAGAGTATACGACTTTTTAAAATTACGTTTTCCCCAGTGGCGTTCTCCTTTTAATCGGAATTTCCGCAAAACGAGCGCGACTACTTTGAAGATTTCGTGGTGTTCTCGTAAAAAAACTTAACGAACGTTGCAATAAAATTTTTACCATCCTCAACATTTTTTAATACTTCCTACATAAATATTTATAATTTATTATACATCAATGTAAATTGTATTAATCGTGCCAACTCATTTGTTACGATCCTTTTAAAGATATTTTATTTTTTATTATTCATATTCTCGTATCTACCAATTCGATTATTTTTTATTCACTTTATTATTTTTCCGATAATATATAACTCGAATGATATCAAACGAAATTTTTACAACAAATTTAAATATAAAACATTTCACAATAATGTAAATATTTGATTTATTTATTGCATTCTTTTTAAATATACGTGTTATTCATATTTGCAAATTCACAAATAATTGTTTATTCGTTTTATTATTTTCAATAATAACGTAGCTTCTTTTGACAAAATATTATTAGACTATGTTTTTTTTTTTATTTATTTAATACCAAAATCGTACTACCCGTATATTCTACTGTACATTATATTACATCGCAAGAAATCCATTATGACCATGCGACATGTGACATTAACAGCTCTTTTCGACGTTGACTTTGGTGATCCCAATTTAACGATGGCCGCAATGCCAACTTCTATGCCACTTAAAAACTCTTTTTTGTCTGCCTCTCTCTTTCTTTTTTATATCAATTGATCAGCTCATTAAACGTCTTTTATCTTTTGTATTTTATAAAATAATCATAAAAGATTACATAGAAATTATAACTACTTTTTTTTCTCGCGTCAGTTAATTAAAAAAAAATATTATTTTAATATGTAACTTGTAGTCTTATTTAAAAAAATAATTAATAAAGAGTTGATTTTTAGTGTTCTCAAAATTCTTATATAAAATAAACCAAACTCTATTATCTATTTATATTTAACAATTTATAATACTTACAGTTAATAATTCATCGTCTTACGACGAACATTTAATAGTAAAAATTTCCATTATTGAACAAATTCCATATAAATTTAATTTAAAAAAGAAAAAAGAACTAACAATTATAGTATTTCTTTGAAAAAAAATACTGTCAATTTTACTTTCAAAAAAATACTATGTTTTATCGCCTACTTACACTCATTAATATTAATGAATTTATATTTTTAAAGAGATTTATCTCCATTGTCCAATCGCACAATGCAAACGCAAATTCGTTTGATGTAAAGGGAAGACGCACATACACATATACGTATACACGAACTGACCCTTACCCTCCGACATTCGCATTGCGCATCGGTAGCACGAGAATAGGTTGGTTGTACTTACAGGAAACATCGAGGGTTATATATGCACGTACTAGGATCGAATAGGGTTGCGTCCACCCTCCTGGGCAGCCGGCTTTCCGGGCTCGTCGCTCTGCATGGGTTCAGGGCTGGCATACACGCGTTCGCGAGACCAGATGCATCTCGAAAACTCGTAGATACGCCCTTTCAACTTATCGCTCGATAACTTGCACAGTATTTTATGTTGTACACTTAAATAAATTATATCAATGATATAAATCAAGCGACTTAATAAAAATTACGAATTATTTATATATTTATATAATAACATTTATATTTATAATATTATATATATATATATAATAGTATAAATTATGTACATTATGTACAAATTGAAATAATTAATAATTTATACTATATAAATATAAACTATATAAATATATAGTATAAATAATAAGTAATTATAAGTATAAATTATATGAATTATTTCAATTTGTAGAAAATAAAAATTATATCGTAATGAAAGTAATGAATTATTTAAATGTTGATAGCATATGGAAATTCGTGATTTATTTCTTTTTCTTTTTGTAATCATTTGAAAACGTTAAACGTTTTAAAAAAGTTTAGAAATCCTGTATTTGGGAAAAATGCAAGATGTTTACTCGCGACGAAACACGCTTTCCATCGAATGCTACGTGTTAAAAGGATAGTTGAAAAGTTTTCGTCCGATAACATCGTGTAGATTTTCACCGAAACGAGTAAACTTACAATACGTTTTTTCTTTTTTGTTTATTTTTTTCTTTGAGGGAATAAAAAACTACAAGAGAGAAAGAGAAAGTATGTATCTCCTTTATTTCGAAGAATTAATGAGTTAACAATAGCAAAAGGATAAATATTTCTATGAATATACCCACGTAAATCTTATAATCGTTTTATCATCAATAGAGCACGATTGGAATTCGAAGAATTCTCCTCACGTTTGTTCGCTAATGCGAACACTTCAAACTACATTTCCAGTTACCGTTCGATTAATCCCTTCATTTTAAGGTATATGTATATGGTGCAAACAAAGATATTAGTCAAATGTTTCCAATGTTCGAATTTTTGTAATAAAAGAAAAAAAAGTAAAAAATAGAAAAGCAATTAATAACTTTGCCGTTTGCCAAAAAACATCGCGGAAAAATACCCCGAATAAAATGGAAATTTAATTAAATTATATTATCGTCTTGAAAATAAGTTACATCTATAAGAATCTGATTTTTCACGATTTCAGATACGTTTTAGGTTCGTTTTGAATAGTACTTAAGCCCACTCAGATCTCCGATTGCATGTGAATTTCATACAGAAAAGGAGGGTTTCTTCACTTTTCGCAAGAATAGCCTTAACTTTGCTGGCTGGCACTCTCGTCGTTTTCTCGTGCAAAAGGAGGGTCGGTTCGAAGGGAAAGGTCGCCTTTCAACGAGTACATTTACGATAAAACGTAAAACGGAAGCTGAAGAATGTGTGGGAATAGCGTTTCGAGGACACATTAAAGGATCGATCGTGACTCGCTTGAAAGTGAATCGTTCGATTATCGTACAAGAATATCGAGCTATACTCTCATCTACGTATATAAACAAGAAAATAACCACAAGTGAAAAAAAAGAAAAATACATGTTAGATAATTATGACCAAACAATTTGTTTTCGAACTAGCGAAACGCCGAATGACGAGAAAAGTTTTCGACTTGATAAAAAACAGAAAAAAAAAGTAAAACTCCTCTTCTAGGATTCTGCTCGAACGATCATCTTCCTGCGGACGCACGAACGAGTTCGAACTTTTCTCGATGCGTCATTAATTCGAACGAAGTCGGAGTTAAAGCACATTGCCTGAAGCATGCAGCATCTCCAATGTGAAGCTGAAAATAAGCGATCGTACGATAGTTTGTCAATAATTCGATAAAACGGTAGTTCAGCTTGATTAAATTCTATTAGAGTTATCGCAAGAACAGATAATTGATATAAGAAAGTGTCGGGGGGGGGGGAAATGTATTTCAACGCCTCTGGAAATTTGTATTTTTTTTTTTCTAATATAAAGCATGAGCATATCAATAGAATGGTTGAAAACGTACAGTAGCTGCAATAAGTTTTTTCTTGTTAACTATTTTATTTACAAAGTTATATAGTGATAGTTATCAGTAGTATATTGACAGAAGCATAACATAATATTTGTTGTATTAGTCTATTTCACTTTTTTTTTTTTTAGTATTCATAAATAGATACGATCTATTGTTCTCTACATTTCCTTTATTATTAAAACTATAATCAAAGTAAATATAAATTATATAATAAAATCGCGATTTTACTTTAATTTACTTTAGTTATAAAAACATGAATTAATGAAATCTTCAATATTAATACTACGAAAAGTATTCGAGTAATATATTTTTTTAAAAGTGTATCTACTTCGTGTATATATACTTATTCATTTATTATTATTATATTTATTTATTTACTATATATATATAAGTCTACCTATAATTTATATATAATTAGAATGAAAGCCTTCGACTATCAAAGTGAACTTGTAGAATATAAAAATTCAGATGAGTGTCAATACTTTTTGTAACCACTGTAGCTCAACTAATACATATATATATGTATATATATATATACACAGAAATATATATATACACACATAGAAAAGAATTTCACGAAGCTTGCTCGGCTCGGCCGTTAACTTCGGCCTCGTTCGCGCGTTTTAGGAGGGGCGGTGGCGTCGGTGGTGCTGAGGCTGATGCTCGCAATGGTGGTGATGGTAATGGTGGTAGTGGTGGTATGGTGGTGGTGATGGTGATGGTGGTGGGTAGTGGTGGTGGTAGCAACGAACGTCGAGTAGAAAGGACGCGTGCTGTTGCTGGTAGTGTTTGTAACGGTGGTGGTGATGGTGGTGGTGGAAGGGACGCCGGGCGTCGCGGCGCAGGCTGCCGCACCCAGCAAAGCGCTTGCTCCCCTTTGGCCGGTAAAACGTATACCTACTCGCTATAGTCTTCTATATAGTACGTTGACTCGAGAGAGAGAAAGAGAGAGAGAGTGAGTGAGATAGAAAACGCGCGTCCTTGTCGTGAACGTCGACACACTGCATCGCGACAGAACACATCGGTCCATCGAGACGAAGACGAGAACTCGAAGAAACTAAAGGAAAAAGGAAGAGAGAGAGAAAGAAATAGGAAGACATTTGGCTGTTGCTAAGCGCTACTTTTACTACTTCCGGTATTTCTGGTATCTTCAGCAGGGATAACAAGACGCGTTCTGGCCTTCACCCAGGTCCAAGGTCACGACAAACAGACGCTATGAAAATGTCGAATAACTTGATCTGTATTTAACACTTAAACAACTCCTTCATTCCTTCTTTCGATTCGTCGTGATGTTTGCTTACGATGTGTCCCTGTGTTTACGGTGTAATAGGAATTATTTTCGTGAATTTAAATAGAAGCAAGAGAATATTCGCGATCGATCAGTTAATGGTTCATGGTGAATATGTAGTTTGTTTTCTGTGAAGAAAGTGATTATAGTTTCGATAGGTGGTTCAATTTTGGAATGATCAGGAAAATATAGGGGTACCGTTGGAATAGAGAAAGGCTAAGTACCCACCCAATGGCGGGAGAAGTTTTACCCTGCTCTCGTGTCAAGGTTGCACGACCTTGGTTTCTGTCACTGACACGCTATGTCGGAAATCGCGTTTACTGAATTTCGCGCGAATTCACTGAGAGTAGCGGTAATGATTCGATATAACGTTTGTATTTTCTTCTTCTTCATTCCTATATCTTATCGTTAAGTTTCTATACAAAGAAGAATCGTTCTATCCGTTTAAGTAAAAAATTTTGGATACTTTTGAGAAAGTAAGTTTTTTCTTTTTAACTTTTCGAAAATTTAAGCTAATAGTTTTTCATCGATTTCGAAATTCGACTACCCTTAAGTCCGATACAATTTCTCTCGTTCAAGAGTAAACATTGATCTTTCGTAAAGTCTAGCCAACCCAAAGGTAAAAAGAGAGAGAGAGAGAAAGAGAAAAATAGAAAAAGATAGAAGGAGAAAGAGCTTCTCTTGAAACTAACAACGTGAATTCGTTGTGAAAGTTCAAGTACGGGGCCGATGATCATGCCAAAGATCTTTTTCCGTCCCTCTCGAGTCGGTTGATGTTCGCTATGATTAAAAATATCAAACGACGTACTTTGAAAACAATTCGAAATCGTCTTTACAAAACCATATTTATTTTTTTTTCAAAACAAATCAAAAACTTATTTTTATAAATTAAATATATCGATTAATTAAACACGAATAATCTATGTATGAAAATGTTATATAGATAAATATCCCAAAGGAATTGATTTAACAAGGAATTAAATTACATAGTAGAAAGAAGTTAACAGTATAGTTGCGTGCGTGGATGTTTAATAGACCAAACTGTAGGGTTCACGCGTATCTGGTAATGCACGATCGATATTCACCTTTCCCAAGTTTGTAGGGACTCGCGTTTCGCACGAAGGAATCCAGGAGACAAGGGGTTGATTGCCCTGAGTCGCGGGGGTAAGACTGCGGTGGTCGGTGCTCTCCCTCTCCCTTTCTCTCTCCCTCCCTTCGTTTCTGTCTCTCCGTTTGTATCTCTCTCTCTCTCTCTCTCTCTCTCTCTCTCTCTCTCCCTTTGCGGAGACTCTGCAGGCGGCTTTAGGCGGTGCCCACGTCGCCATCGTCGTCGTCGTCGTAGCGTCGTTTCGAGATAGGATAGCTTTGCCCATGCATATATGCATTCGCACGCAAGCTTCTTATCAGGCCTTCTTCTTCTTCTTATTCTTGTTCTTCTTCTTCTTCTACTTCTACTTCTACTTCTTCCTCTTCCTCTTCCTCTTCCTCTTCCTCTTCCTCTTCCTCTTCTTCGAGTACCGGAACGTACGATTCATAGCGGATTTAACGCTAGCCACTCGAATAAAACCCGAACCACTTCAACATTTTTTTTTCTCTCTTCTTCGTCTTGATCAACTCGAGTTTGATCGATAGATAGATATATATGATTCTCCCGTGTCGATTTTCCTCTTTTTTATTTTCTTCTTTTATGTTTGTGTTTCGTTTAGATCGATTTCTACTAAAAGTTGAATCCTTTGATACACATGATTTATTTTTGTCGACGTTTTTATAAATATAAATATTATATACAGAAAATTACATTATTGTAATTTTCAGTATATAAATTAATATAATAAAGATTTGATTGTCGTAATTCTTACAATTACATGAATTTAAAGTTTAACCAATTTATTATTATATTTTATCAGAAGATACAATTGAAGGAAAGAAAGGACGAAAGTGAAAGACTGATTTTAATGATCGTTCCATCCATGACCGTCTAAAGTTTCTAGAATATACTAGAATTGAATCACCGAGCCATATCTAAATTGAAGATATACAAAGAATCTCGTTTGAAAACACGATCGAAACATTACTTTAACCAATCATACGAAAAATTCTTTGATCAATGTATGTGCCTGTATTTTAAATAACCGTCCCCATCGATCAATACGTTTCTTTTTGAAAAAATAAAAGATAAGTGATACGAATAGTAAGAAGACTGATAAGAAAAAAGAGACTAAATAAATCGTCGAAAAATCGTTCGTAATTTTATTCGTGATAACAGTGTTGTGCTACTATTTACTATTACTGAGGACTCCGTGATTAGTGGTGGGTGATGATAAGTGACCCCACCGTTTCGAATGAAGTGGTTTTAGGATGATGGTGGAGCGTGTCGAGGATCACCTCTTCATGTATCGACGCCCCGTCTATCGGGTCTTCCAGTACCTCGAAACCACCGAGTGAGTATTCGCGACATAATCACATTTTCTAATTTCTGATCTCTTTATGAAATTATCAGAGACCGTTGTGTTTTACCTTTTCATTCCTTCTACTTTACAAGATTTTATTTCTTAATCGATTATCTATATACGTACAATTATAGACCGGTGAATGCAATAGTATACTAATTTTAAGGTAAAAAATTAAAAATATATTTATTTTTTGATTTATTTTATAACACAAATAATTATATAATATATATCTTATTATAAAATCAATTTCTATTTTTTTGTTTTTTTCTTTTACTCAGCTCACTGTCATTATTACCAGCGCACATATGTTATTGCATTTAATAACCATACTATCGTATAGGTGAAACTTATACGATACTATTGAATTTTCTAATCTCTAATTTCTGAGAGAAATTTCCAGAGATTAACATATTTTATTTTTTCATTCCTCGTGTTTTACAATTTTTTTATATCGAATTGATTTATAATAATATATTATTATATTTAATAATCATATTTGTTCACGACAACATATTTTCTAATCACGTATCTTATCTCTTCGAAACTAGCGTGTTGTATATCTTATATTCTTTCTATCGAATAAAATATACAAATGATATCATTTAACTATCTATACTTCGATCTATGTTGAAAAATATTCGCGACATATTTTAAATGAAAGAAAAATTATTGATTTTTCAATCACTCGCTATATTTAAGGACACAATTTTTGTTGTTTTCAAAGAAATTAATATTTACTCGTACGTATCTATTAATTATTATATTAATATTTATATTATACTACCACGCTACGTTTACGACCGATTATTAATCAAGATAAGTATACCATTTTATTGTTTTTTTTTTTGGTTTTTTTTTCATCACCGATATGACGTGGTTGACTGGGTAAAGTTATATCTCGGTAAAACATATTTTCTCGTTGTTAAAATCGCGTCGAGAAGAAGAGGCGTCTTTACGACGCATGTACTAGAACGTTTGAAAAGTTGGTTCGATGGGGTCGAGGTGTAACCTCTTCTTAGGTACGTCGAGCATCCAGCTGTTAGAATCTTCAGAGAGCCACGGAACAGGCGTTTAAACAAAGGGGTTGCCTCGTTTGAATACCAGCCAGTGGCAATTTGCGTGCATAAAGCCTCAGGAGGTTCCTTGCGATTCGTGAATGGAAGAACGAGAAGCGAACAAGAATAAGAGAGCAAGTGAAACAGAAACAAAGAACGAGAGAAATAAAGAGTGTGTGAGAGACAAAGAAAGAAAGAAAGAAAGAAAGAGAAATAAAGAAAGAAGGAAAGAAGGAGAAGAGCTCGATGCAAGAAAGTGCTCGTTTTCGTCCTTGTTACGTCGATGCCGTAGCTGGGTAACCATGGCAAAATTGCCATCATCGACCACGAGCTCTCTCTCCGGTAACCGTCGTTAATTGGCGCCATTAAATATGCTTCGAACTCCGCTCGCAGCATCGGAATCGTAATCGGTTTGTTAGATTTCCTATCTTCCAATTTCTACCAATACATTTGTACCGGTAATATTATGACCGGTTATTCAATTGAAAAAGCATTCATTTTATTATTTATTTTTTGAAGTGAAAACTTCTTTAGAATGGGGGTAATTTTTTATTATAATTATTTATATTATAATCTTAAAATTAATATTTTCAATTTTTTGACTTATGTTATTTATGACAAATGTCATCATTATTGATCACATTTATTTAAAAAGACAGACAGAGAGAAAGAAAAAGGACGTATTATAATCAGATTGTAAGGATCGAACAAGATCAGCAAAGTAATATCAGAAAGAGAAAGTAGATAAATACGAAGGAATTGAATTGTAAGTGAAGAATCACAAATTTGTTGATTTTGTTAAAAAAAACTTATCATGCTTTGCAATGACTTTTTAAACAAAAGAAGATAGAACAAATGTAATAAGTAAACGATGTTATAAATTAACTTTTTTTTCTCTTTTTAATAATCAAATATTATTAATCTTTTCTATTATCTTCCCGACGGTGTGTTTAAGGAAAGGCCTTTTTCCTCGCCACATATTAATTTCTAAGAAAATATTGCCACAGGCCAAACGAAGCTTATGACTTTTCGTTTATCTTTTCTAATTATAAATTTATCGTTAAAAAGACGAGCTTACTTTCGGAACTACAATCTTCAATCATATTTCTTTATTTTATTCTGATTTTAAAATTATTGGCTAAAAAATTAAATTAATTTAAATTATTGGCTAGGCAATTTATTTTAATATTTAATAAACATAATTTAATGTGCAATAGTATAATTTGTCAACAAATTATAATTATAATCCTATATTTTATTTTTATATTATTATTGATCTAATAAAAAAAAAAAAAAAAAGTAAAATGTATACTCAAAACACTTTATGTAACGATAAATCAATAGGAATGTATGATTTCGCAATATAGAAACGTTTAATTTTATCTAGGACTCGTTAAAGGTACAATTAAACTTTCCCTGGACAATCTAGACAGGTGGTGTCTTATGTAAATACGTACGATGAGAAATCGGTCGATACGGCTGACTAATTAAAGCCATTACCATGTTTCCATCGTATAGAGATCTAACTGGGAATCGTAGATGCGTGAACCCATCCAAAGCTTCTTATGTAAATAGAATCCTAGGTAAAGAGGTGGACGCGAAGTATAGGAAAAGATAGAGTCTTTAAAGTTAATTTTGTTCTATACGAAGATATAAAACTTGTTACAAGCATGTTCCTTCTCTTTTATTCGAGAGTGTATACCTTTGGTTAAAAGATATTTTCATGTCTTCGATAGTACTTTAATACTTTTACCTAATCGTTCGCCATAAACTCGCCGCAAGCTGCCGTTATATCGTTGGCTAAATTTGTATCTTTGTTCGCCGTCGTATTTCTACATCGTCAATGATAATATTTCTTTTCTTTCTATACAGTAGACTACCGTACAACGCGGTTAATGTGCGATGCGTCACAGACAATTTTTATATTCCTCGGGATAATTTACAGTTAATTCATGAGGGCCATATTCTATACGTATTCAACTTTTGCATTCCGAATTATATTTCAATTTTTCTTTTTTTTTTTACCAACACAGCTCCCAACGCTTTTGAATGTTTTATTTGAAATTTATTTTAACTAAAAAATAAGGTAATTTAATCAGTTTGATAAGAGTAAAAACGTCGAGTGGAACTTGATAAAGGAGCTTCTGAGATAAAAAATTATGTCGAATCAAACTCGACGTAGGAGTGCACAAAGTTAAATATAAATAGTAGAAAAATAATTAAAAAATAAACAATTACGAAGCAAATAAATTCGATAGCAATGAAGACAATTTAATTCTCAATTAAAACAAATTTAATAATTATTGAATTAAAATAAATTTATAAAAACAATAGTTGCAATATTTTTGACGCGTTATACGAGAATCAATTGTATTTTTATTCGTTCTGTTTTTAACAAAATTCTTACTAAGGTATATAAAGTTAGAAAAACATTGCGATCACTTCCAAGATCACTCGTGAGTTAATAGATCTTATGACGAAGCCTGAAGAAGCTCATATAGTGACGGCTCTTATTACGTGATTCTCTCTTTAAACTGGGTTAGTTTTCGTGATGGTCGACGTTCGTCCTCATTTGTCCAGACTGAGTCAGTCCGATGACTCATACGCGTTGGTCAATGACCTTTAAATGTCCATCTCGAAAAACCATATCGATTATATTCTTTAATTTCATTTAAAAAAAAAAAAAATTAAGAAAAAACAATTTATTTGTATATTTTAGTCGAGTATTGTCTGAGAAAATGATTTATCATTATTGTTGAATGCAATCGTTGATTATTAACATATTTCTAACAAAATGATATTTTATTTTTGCACGAATAAATTTAGAAAGAAAAGAAAATCTTCGTTCGAATGATCATGAACGATTTACTTTCTTTCCTTCCTCTTTTTCTTCTTTTTTCATTTATGTATAAAACTCAAACTAGGAAATGAGAAAAGTTAGCTCGTAAGATTACCCTTAAGTCAGAGAAGCCCAGGCTGGTACCACGAAAACTTCAAAAGACGTTCGAGACAACGTCCACAAGTGGTACGTTCTGTAGTTTGAGTTAGTTTCAAATTCTCTTTCTCTTTCTCTTTTTTTTTTCTCTCGTGTTTCAAGACGTGAAAATTAGAATTATATTCCACGTTCCGACAGCATTCGTTCTTTCGTTTAGAATATCAACGGCAAACGTCTACTACTAGTTATTACATAATTGCCTTTACTCACGTAATATTTTATGATTATTTAGCAGATGTAAATATTATACCTTTTACTCTCTTTCTTTCTCTTTAAACTTTTATTCAATAACGAGCACGTTAATCGCCATTACTATTAATTTGTTATCTACACACTCTCGCGTTTTAACATATTTTATATATCAAAATCGTGACTAATCCGATCTATGATCTTCACGCTGCCACAAGATTTGCTTTTTTTTCCCTGAAGGCATAAAAGTGCACTAATGCTCATACTCGACACGTTATGAACACCTTATAAGCTGTACTGTATACGAATTTTAAGTCAATTTTGTTAATATCGTTAATAATATTATATAAAGGCTTCGTTCTTTTTATACTAATTCAATTTTGTTTCATTTTTAACTACATAAAAGTATGCCTATAATTTTCATTTTTTATAAGTATGGTTATATTATATGCAATAAATAAAATTAACTAGATTTTGCAAACATTTTTATAAGTATATTCAGGACATTTAAAGTCATCAATTGCAATTCAAAATTTATCTTCATTGAACATTCCCTAAACCTAGTTTACTGAAGTATTTCATCAATTTAAATGTAAATACAAATTCAAATTACGTTAACGATGTGATTTATCGTTATTCTTCTTTATAATTATAATTGCTTCGAAAGAATCAGTATTATTTCAATTATGCGTTCTTCTTTTTGATAAGAATTTACTTTACAATAGTTTATTATACATCATCCGCCTACC